TGAGTCTCTTAAAGGTGCGTGAATAGAACAATAGGGCAAGAAGAGCAAATTCAATCTCTCTGCTTGAGCTGGGACATCCATCTTCTTCTGCCCTTGAACAGCAGCACTTCTGGTTCTTGGGCTTTCAGATTCACACTGAAACTTACATCATAGGCCCTCAGATTCGCAGGCCTTCAGGCTGAACTGAATTATACTCCCAGGCTTTTCTGGTTCTTCAGTCTGAAGACAGATCATGGGATTTCTCAGCTTCATAATCACATGAGCCAATTCCTATAATAAATCACTCTCTTTACGTCTCTCATATACATATCCTATTAGTTCTGTTTCTCGGCCATTTTCAATCATATTTAAGTTTTCACAAGTACATTATTTTTAAGAAACATGAGTTTTAAGTCTTCATGTCAAAATGAAGGAGATATTTGTTGTTGAGAACCATGTAGGAAATAAGGCAACACAGAAATTCCATTCAATGAGCAATAAAATAAAATAAAATGTTAGTAAGAAACATCATGTAAATAAGATAATTAAAGGAGTTTAGGAAATAGTTGTCAAGAGCTGTGAAAGGTCTGAGATTTTTGCCCTACTTTCAAACTAACAAGTTGGTTTGCCACAGTTTCATGGATATTGGTGGAAGACGGAAGACTCCTGGGTCAGAGACAAAGGATATTTATTACACACAGTACAGCAAGCTGCTTGACTACCAGCATATTTGCATCAGTTTCATTGCTCCAAAGTCCCACAAAGGCAATGTAAGGGTCCAGAGGTTACAGGAGAAATCCTGAGCTGAGGGAACCTGTATCTTTTATAATGGGCACAAAGATGCCTGTCTTCTCTGTAAATAGGTCACTCTTTCTTCAACCCACTATTTCCTATTTGATACATGTCTGTATAAAATCACCTGTAAAAGGTAGTCTGGCACAAAAGGCAGTAGCTTGCTCATAAGATGTGCAGGAATACTGGAGTTCTGTAGAGAATTATCTTCCAACAGTAATCTTGCAGAATCTAAAGAAATTCTTTTTTTAAATCTTTGAAAACGGAAACATTAGTTCAACCTTATTGCTTGACACTGTGTATATAACTCTAGTCTTTTCCCAATAAGATCTTAATATTAAAACCAGAAATTACAGGGTAAAAGTTAATAAAATTACATTGCAGAGTAGTATTTGGTAAAATTCTGTGTATGCTTAAAAGAAATATTGCAAATCAAAGAAAGAAAAGAGTATTTGGAAGAATCAAGTTTTAAAGATGAATTTGGACTCTTCAAAGAGAATTAGAAATTAATATAATAAATAAGAGGAATGATTTCATATGTAGTGATTTACTAATGACCACAAATGACATTGCCAGACTGTTCTGCAGAGTCTAGGACCAGGTGTAGACACCTTCAACCCAAGATAGAATGACTTATTTGTTGTTCAATGTGTATTCATTGTTCAATTTACTATATCTTTAAATTACACTGTACGGAATAGATACACTGATATATCACTAAATATTTATTATGGCTTCATAGGAAAATGTTGCATGATGATTACATAGTTTCTGTCAGTATCTTACTACATTTTGAATTTCTAATGCTGTAAATATTTAAATTGTTTGCATAGTAAGATACATAGGTGAAAAGAAATGACACACATCCTTTCCAAATATGCAAAATGTAAATACTAAAGTAGATTTAGTCTGGAGAACAAGATTAGTAAATTGTTATTGTTTTCCAAATATCAACATAACCAACCATTATTATTACATTCTCTTATGTTGATATCACACACCTAATCTGTACAACCATGTTCTAATGTCCATAGCCTAATTAAAATGGTCAAAAGTGTAATCCTGATGTAGCATTAAATGAGCCATCTTCTATGTAACTATATACAAGAAAACCACATATTTATGACGTATATTAACATGGTACGTAAGTTTTAATGTGTTTGACAAGTCTGATCTGATTTCCTTCATTCAACTTCTGCTCTTTTTCCTGCTTTTTCCTCTCAAACCCTGAAGAATCCCAGTTTGGTGAACTGAGATTCATCCTTGTCGTTGTTATTCCTGGTCACACTTATAGTGACATATCTGGGACAGTGGCAGGTTCGGAGGCTAGAGAACATTTTGGCTGGCTGAAAAGCAGGACTTTCTGCCCTCTCTGGAAGCGGTCTTCATCTGCCTGTTCTTGTCAAGCACTTTAACAGCCCTTTCTTTGTTGTGACTATTTTAGCATTGACTTTTACAGTAGATATTGAATGGTATGGTATTTTTTAAAATGTAGGTTTTATTATTATTCACATATGATGAGACCAACAGATCAGAAGATGATTGCCATTGAAAAGACAGTTTGTTATAGTTCCCAAGTGGAGGGGAAGCATGACGTGCCATGCAGGGCCGCACAGGGAAGCACTGGTGTGGGGCAAGAGGCAGAAGGAATGAGAAGAAAGCAGAGGCAGGAGTCTTTATTGTGTTTTTCATGGGGAACACAAGACAAAGCAGGAAAAACAGGCTTAGAATTGGCTAATTTGAACAATTTCAGCAGGCTCTGGAGTATAGAGGCTATCTTTAGTTGTCTGGTACCTGACTCTGGGGTGACTAGGGCAGAGGAATATTGCCTCCTGGTGCTTAAAGCCTGATAGAGGAGGTGATTTGGAGAATGGTTTTGGGGGTTTGGTTTGAATATGAAAGGCATGCTGTGAGATAATAGAAAATATATATTGGTCTCTGCCCCCAGTTCCTGGCACTGAGCTCCTGAAACCCTTATAATTTCCTGAGTGATAAAAGTGTCTTTTGTTCTAATGAGATGGCCCTGGGTGGGCTCTTGGCTGGCTCCTGGATGAGAGCTGGCTGCCAGAAAGACCAAGCCATGATTAGAAGCTTGGAATTTTAGTCTCCCCCAACTCTCTTGAGAAGGGAGAAGGATTGAAAATGGAGTTAATGATCGATCATACCTATGTGATGAAGCCTCCATAAAATCTCAAAAGGAAGAGGTTCAGAGAGCTTCTGGGTTGGTGAACACAGTGAGGTGTTGGGAGGGAAGGCATAGAAGCTCGGCAACCTTCCCACACTCCCTGCCCTATGCTTTGCTTCCACGGGGCTGTGCATCTGTATCCTTTATCATATCCTTTAGTAAACTGGTAAATGTAAGTAAGGGTTTCTCTGAGTTCTATGAGTCACTCTAACAAATTAATCGAACCAAGTGGGGGGAGGTCGTTGGAACCTCTCATCTACAGCCAGTTGGACAAAAGCACAGGTGACAACTGGACTTGTAACTGGCATCTGTAGTGTGTGTGTGTGTGGTGGTGGAAGGGGGCAGTCTTGTGGGATTGAACCCTTAACCTGTGGGATCTGGTGCCATCTCCAGGTGAACAGTGTCAGAATTGAATTAAAGTGTAAGATACCCAGCTGGAAGGAGGGGGCGGGGGAAGGAAGCTCCACATAGCTGGCGACCAGAAATGTCAGAAATGAAGTGAATATAAAGGAGACACACAGGGAAGATACCCAGAAGGAGGAAAAGCTGAATTTTTCCTTTACACATGCTCACAGGGGAGAAGTTTACAATCTCTAGCAACTAGCTAGTCATGGGAGGGGCAGACTCCAAGGTCAGGCAGGCCCCAGAGGCCAGAGCACCAAGAATACAGAGAATAAGAAAATATAGTTAATACATATAGATATGAAGCTGCCCATCATTTTGGCACCAAAGGAGGTAGAGGATGATAAAGTGGGGCCCCTGTGTTCTAGTGACTCAAATAAAGTGAAACCTGACTCAAAAGAAGAAAATCCACTGCCAAATACTTGAAAACCATTGACGGCAGAGAAAAGACATCCTACATTCTGCTTCTGCTTCCACATGGAGGCCTCTTCCATTCCTAAAATACTCTCAGAAAGTCAAAGAAGACGAATGAAAATGGGCCCCTCCACAGAATTTTACCTACTGATCTGGGTTACTGAATATGAAATAATTCCTAACTAAATAGACTCTCAAAATGGTTTCTACTTCCACCATTTATTCCTTCTTGCAGTATTTGTCACAGGTGCCCTATTTTTTGAAATTTGATAGTATCTCTCATGCTTAGGATGTTTATTTTATTCTTTTATTTTCAGAATTTGTAGGCGGGTACCAACTGAACACCATAGTATGCTTTCACCATCCTTGGTTACAGATATCTCTGCCTACTTTCAGCTTTCAGGTAGCTGGGGGAGCAGGGAGCAGAGACTGCTTCTTAGCCCTGGGGCCCCTCTGGGTCCAGCTGTGGTGCAGAAAGAGGCAAAGATCTCCCACATTTTACTTTCTCCATTTCTCTCAACCCAGCTCACGTTTTTAGTAAGTCAACGAATGGAATGTTTTATAATAATCTCTATAAACATAAAAAAACAAACTAAGTTAAGTTTTGGCTTTGACTTTTATTTTTAAAAAACTTTTATAATGAGCCAGTAGAGTGTGTTAATTCTAAATGCCAGTGTTAAAAACCATGGCACCATTACTTATGGTCCTATAACTCAGGGAATAAAGCCTAATCTTTCCAAATCTCTATTTTGTGTATAAAAAATGGGATTGTACATTTTAATGTCATTAAGTTGTCATGAGCTTTATATAATATACATAAAGCATTGAGCACACCTAACACAATACATTTTGGCTACCTCAAAATGAGCTAGTTGTTTTTCATACCAGAAGCATCACTCATCATCACAGATATAGTGAAATTCATTTCTAAATACACAGATAAGGTTACAGTAAAGGCAGTTTTAAAATATCTTAGAACAAAAATAAGGTTAAATTTATGATAGTTTTGGAGATATAAAAGGGGTATCTTTCTTTCTTGCTCTCCCTTCTGTCATTCCTGAGGGTCTTCAGGAAATTAAAAAATACGTAGTTGAGTAACTCTGGAAAATAATGGAATAGCCTGTGTTGCAATAGAAGTGCAGTGATTCACTCTTTCCCAGAAATTGGAAACAGATACGGACTATGTCTCAGATTTCCTTTGAGCTTGCTTTTGAATTGTAGAAAAAGAGGAATTCAAGTTTTGATGGTGAAAATGATGAAAAATAATAATGAAATCAGTTGCTGAAAAAGGAAATACTTCAAAGTTTGGAGTTAGAGTACTATTTGGTGTGAGAACAAAGAAATATTTTTTATACATCTTATATACTTTGCTTTCTATGGTGTTAAAAGTTTTTTAGAGTATCTTCTGCTTTATGAAAGATTGTCTTCAAGAAACAAAGCATCTAAAGTATACAGAAAACACACTGGTTTCTATAGGCAAACTGAACTCTTGGATGGGTTCCATGATTAAAGAAAAATAATTGACATAAGTCAACTCAAAAGAACATCAAAGTACATAGCATATTATGTATGGATGGATTTATTTGCCAAAATAATTGTTTCTTTTTATTTTTCAGATTAATATGAAGGCTGAGCGTGTCAAGCTGAGTCTTTTGGCAGATGACAAGTGAGTGGAATCCTGCACCAAGATTTGTTTGAAGTTTTGTTTAGAACTCAGCAGAGTTTTGGTAGGTATAGTGTTTTAAATGATGAGACATTTTAACAAAAAATTCCATGGTTTCACGTTTGCATATAGCAAAACAGTGGCTTAAAAAGAAACATATCATACAAAATAGTAAAATTGTTCATCAAATATATCAACTACTTAGCCATTATTTATCCAACTAACCCCTACTCTAGCAGACTTAGTGCTTTAATGTTTGGCCACTGCCCTCCCAGAGCTCAGAACTAGCTGAGGAGACAGACTGGTGAAAGAATAATGGATGGTCATACTACATGGGCAGTGCTCTCTTGGGAAATACAGAGCCTAACTCACCTCTGCAACAACTTTTCATGGAAATGTACTTTGGAACCTTATATATATACTACTAATTCAAATTATGCAGATCTACATATGTCATGTGTTCTGACCTCCACATTAAAAAAGGCCAATGGTTGCAGTTGGAACCCAAGGGCGGGGAGCCAGGGACGACTTTCTTGCAGAAAGCACTTGGAATTAATAATGCTAGATATCTCATATATAGTAGTAGGCAAGGAGTTGGGTGAATGATTTTGCAGTTTACTTTACAAAGGTTTTGTCGTTTACCCCAGCTAAAAAAGCAGACATGGGTGGTTGAAAAAGAGTAAGAAAGTCTGAGAGAGAAACAAAGATTTGAGAAAAAAATATCTTTTTCATGTCAAAAGTTTATATTTAAAGAAAAGCTACATGCTTCCTTTTCTGCCTGAATGGTAACCGTCTCCAAGTTCTTCCCAATCAATATGCACTCCTATTAATATGAAATGCCTGACTTTCTTGGCACTCTCCGTTGTAGAAGATTTCATAAAATATTTTTAAAAAACTTTAAAGGGGGAAAGAAAAGTCTTCCTCTTGATTTTGTAGATTAAGAAACTAACCGGAAAGGACGCCAAGAGCCCAGGTGAACTGTTTTCCAGGTGAGAGTATAGTTCCCACGCCACTTCCAGTAATCGGTCGAATGTTGAATGTGTAGTTGATCCTTAACCTTGGCACAATATATCACCTGGGAACTCTAAAGCTACTAATGCCCGAGCCGCAGCCCGGATTAGTTACAGAAATTCGGGTGCTCAAGAACACAGAATCAGTCACCTTTTAAAGTGGCCAGGCAATTCCCCTGTGCAGCTACCAGTGATAACTACCGATCTAATAAAATTACCCCTCTTAAACGTGATGCATTTAATTTTAAGTATAATAGTGTTCCGATATACTACCATTATTTTCCTTTTATAGATGCAGGTAAATATACATGCACAGAGGTATAGTTATGTGAAAATGTATATATACCAATTTTGTATATATGTTAATTAGTACATACTAATTTTAAAATAATGGCAGCGAAAGTATTCACACTTGTGATAGCCGCTAACTCTCCAACCCAGAGCGCGGGTCTAACCAGTAATCGACCTACCCCGATTTTGGCTCCGCTCCTCCGCATTGCTCAGTTGCGCGCCCGCGCAGTCTCGGAGCCCAGCCTCTATTGCTGCGGGCGCCTCCGGGGCCCGCCTGGCTCCGCCCCTCGGGCTGGCTCGGCGCTCCGTGCTCACGGCTCTGCCGCCCAGCGCTGCCTGCCTGTCCAAGATGGAGGGCGCTCCGCGGGCGCCGCTAGCCCTTCGGCTGCTCCTGCTTGCGGCGCTGCCTGTCCCCGGGTGGCTGACGACGGGCACCCCTGAGTCGTCGCCACCACTCCAAGCCCCAAAGGTAGGGCAGGGCGGGGAGGCCGGGGCCGTGCGACTGTGGCGTCCACCGTCGACGCTTCCCATCTCCGGCCGGCGGGCCAGGAACGGGGTCCGGGTCCCCAGAGGAGGAGCGGGGAGAAGTGCCCAAGGAAACAAGGGCGGCGTGGGAGGGAAGGCGAGAGAGCGGAAGGGGCTCTTCTCTTGTGCCGCGAAATTTATAGAGATTCTTATGGCAGTCCCATTATCATCCTGAGGGGATTTGCCGTCGAAAGTACGCGGTCGCGAGTGATCTCAGCCTTCTGCCATGGCGCCTTCTGGGCTACAGCCGGCACGGGGCAAGGCAGTGTTTATGTACTGGGGAAATGTGGGAGTTTCTCAGCGAGCGAGGACGGGAGCGATTCCAGGCCAAGTGAGTCCTCCGGCGGCGGCGGGTGGGAAGGATTGCCTTCCGTGGGCGTGCAGGAGTCTGGGTGAGCGCACGCCGGGCCCACGGGAGAAGGCGAGTGGCTAGAGACCCAGCTCGTACCCTGGCGTCGCCCCCTCGGCTGGAGTTCCGGGGTCGTGGGACCAGCGCCCCAGCCTCCCTTGGGAGCCTATCGGATCGCACTGACCCGATGCCCTGGGGGTGGGGCCTGCTCTCTGAGCAAGCCCTGCAGATGATTGTGAGGCCGGCTGAAGTTTGACAACCACTGCATCCTGTACTAAAAGAGTGGCTGATTCTTAACGTTTTGCCATGGAGTTGGGTGGACATAAACCAGTGTTTTGTTTTTAATCAGTTGAATGTATGGGAGGGAAGGTTGAAGATTTTAAAATGTGAGTTTTCCCAGAATGAAAAGAAGCGACCTGAATACACCTTTGCTTATTCAAGACTTGAATACTCTGAAGTCAAGGGTAACTGACACCTAAATGTCACTTTTTTACTTTTAATGGCATTACTCTCCCTGAACACAAAAACTAAAAGTATCTCAGTTTCAGTTCTTCTGGGGCATTCCAAGAAACAGTGCAAACCCTGAGAACTATTTATATCTAAATTACATGTGGACCACAATTGCAGCTGGTCAAAAATATGAGTATGATGGGCAAGAGACCAAATAAAAAAATAATCCCTGAGGTTATAGGAATACAGACATTGTTTTTCCCTCTTTCCAAATGTTAAAGTTCCATCATAGTTCCTTACAACCCAAACGACATTTGAGTCTGTCCCCATTACCTGAAAAACAAAACAAAACAAAACAAATGCATTGACTGCAAGCTGGAAATACTCAGCACTGGGGGCTCTTAGTGAGTTCATTTCAGTTCTCCCTTCTAATGCCTTCATCCCACTTCGGGAAAGCCCAAATTTAAACTCAAAGTTCCATAGATTAAATAAATGCTGAGCAGCTAGGAGAATCTTTTTCTTTAGAAATGTTTATATGAGAAGCTGAAGCCTCTTGATCTCAATTTCTTTCAGTGTTTTATTGTGAAAATTTTCAAATGTACAGAACATCTGAAAGAATTTTATGGTGGTCACCATATTAGGTTAAATTCCATACAGTAGACCTTTGTGCAGTGATGGTGTACATCTGTTCTCTCCATTACAGCAGCCACTAGCTACTACTAGGTTGTTGACTATTTGAAATGTGCCCAGTACAACTGAGGAACTGAGTTTTAAATCTTTATTTATTTTATTTTAATTAATTTAAATGTAAATAGCCATATGTGGTTAGTGGGTACCATATTGAATAGTGCAAACTTAGATTACCATTAGTATTTTACTGTACTTTATCACATACCTGCTCATCTATTCATTTTCATATTCAGCTGAACTAAATGTATGAAAACTGGTTTAAGTCAGGAAAATTGTTCTCCTATCCCACCAGTGACCCACATTTACTGGATTAAAAGCATTTTTTCTGTTTTGTTTACATATGCAGTTGTTAGAAGTTGAGGTTATACAGATTGTAAAATAATAAAAATTTCTATAGGACGTTCTTCTTACATTAACTTGGTCACCAAAGAAAGGCATCCAGGAGACACTTATCTTCCTATATGTGTAAATGTTTATTTCATATCTTCCCTTCAGACTTACTCATTTATTTTAAACCAGGTATCTCTTACCTTTGTCCTTAGGAAGCCATTGTGTTCCAGATGGACATACTGTGGGTGAACAAATTAGAGGAAGAATTGAAAATGGGTGGGGAGAAACTTCAGTTCTGCTCCCCTCCTCCCCTTTTTAAGTATACACCACCACCCTGGCTCAGGAGCCTGAACTTCCAGTTGAGTAAGAGGCTCTCAGGAAGAGCCAGAAGTGTGACCTAGCTCTTAACTTCATTGTAGGAGGCAGTAAAGGACTAGGGTCTCTTCTGAAATGAAGTCATTCAGAAGGACCAAAAAGAATTTAATTGAACTTGTTTCTCTGGAAAATATATTATGCTAGTGTCTGTTAATTGTCTTTTACAAAACCTGTACTCTACTAGGCCAGTATGATGTATGTAAGTGTAGTAAATTACTCACAATTTAGTGCATGCTCACTACTGACAGGCAGAAGCTATACAAAGTTTTCTTAAAATACCATCATTGGAGGTTTAGCACTGGACTGTTAGAAGAACAATATTCTATAGTTAAAAGATCCTCTAGTTTGAAAAGAGAAATTTTTGGCTGGAATCTGAACACAATATATTATCAACTTTATGGCTTATCCAATGCTGGTTTTTTTCTAGAGGTGAATATATTGGTTCTCACCACACTTAATTCTGTTAGGGTGGACAGGAGAAAGCTGGGCTGGTTCTGAGGAATCGTTAGTCCAGAAGCTTCCTAGGCTCCTATAGGAATTGGAAAGTATTCCAAAGTCAGCCAGATGTGTGCTATGGTATGTTAGAATCCTGTTCTGTGAGTGAAATCAACTCAAACCCCTAAAATTGCTTCAGTCTTATTCTCTCATTTCTTAGAAGTATATGAAGTATGGGGGATTGATACAGTGTCAAGAAATACACTGTATATAATTTTGATGTTTGTGAATAATTTTCTCATTTTCAAAGTGAAGAATACCTCAAGGAAAAGGCATTTGAGAGTATTGTTTTTATTCTAGGATTACACGTCTGTCTGTAAATAAACAGGAAAATTTGATTTACAAATGACAAACTGTAATTCCTGTGACTAGTGATACATACTTCTTAGAATATTTGTTAAAGAAAGTGTCTCTTTTACCAACTTAAATATTTATATTTAATAATATTTAGCATTTACTAATATATAATGTTTATATAAACATGAACATTAATAAACTATTTTAGTAGACTGCTTTTGTGCATACCTTGAGAGGCACTAAAACTGCAGTATACATGCACTCAGGAACATGTGGGAGAAGGGTTAGAGCAACTTTGTTTTTGAAAACAAAAAAGTTGGAAACAATTCAAATGTCCATTGAGAAGTAGAATAGATGAGTGAATTAGTGGTCATTTGATGGAATATTACAGAGCACTGTAAATGAAAGTCTATAGCAGCATGCATCAGCAACTTCAAACAAAAGAAATTCCAGAAGAATATATACGATATTATTTCACTTATATAAAGCTGAGAAACAGATGAAAGTAAATATTTTGTTTAGAGAGAGATACACAGGTACTGAAACTACAAAGAAAAGCAAGAAATGATTAATATGAAGACAATATAGGGATTCCTGCTGCGGGAAGGGAGGCGGATGTGACAGGGTCATGTTGGGGATTTACAAGGAGTGGATGATATCCTAGTTTTTGACATGCATGGTACATGAATGTTAATTTTTAAATTGTACATTTGCATATTACATGCTCATATATAATGTGTGACTTATAAATGGAAAGAACATGTAGATTATGAAAAATCTGAATTGTGAATAAGAGCATAAAACCAGCTTTGAAGAAGTTACTCAGTTTTCCTGGGTACTTCCTTGTAACAGGAAGTATTAAACTTCCATTCGTTTTTCTATTGTTAAAAATAGTCTATAAAAAATGGGGGTGCATGGGGAGGGCTGTGCAACACAGAGAAGACAAGTAGTGATTCTACAACATCTTATGATGCTGATGGACAGTGACTGTAATGGGGTTTGTGGGGGGGACTTGGGATAGGGGAGAGCCTAGTAAACATAATGTTCTTCATGTAATTGTAGATTAGTGATAACAAAATTAAAAAAATACATGGAAAAAAAGGGGGGGGAATAGAATGCAATGCATTCATTTTAGGAGACTTCAACACACCACTCACTCCAAAGGACAGATCAACCAGACAGAAAATAAGTAGAGACAGAGGCACTGAACAATGTATTAGAACAGATGGACCTAACAGACATCTACAGAACACTCCATCCAAAAGCAACAGGATACACATTCTTCTCAAGTGCACATGGAACATTTTCAAGAATCGATCATATACTAGGCCACAAAAAGAATCTCAGTAAATTCAAGAAGATTGAAATTGTACCAACCAGTTTCTCAGATCACAAAGATACGAAACTAGAAATAAATTGCACAAAGAAAATGAAAAAGCCCACAAACACATGGAGGCTTAATAACATGCTCCTAAATAATCAATGGATCAATGACCAAATAAAAACAGATCAAGCAATATATGGAGACAAATTACAACAATAATTCAACAATACAAAAATCTGTGGGATGCAGCAAAGGCCATGCTAAGAGGGAAATATATTGCAATACAGGCCTACCTCAGGAAAGAAGAACAATCCCAAATGAACAGTCTAAACTCACAATTAATGAAACTAGAAAAGGAAGAACAAATGAGGCCCAAAGTCAGTAGAAGGAGGGATATGATAAAGATTAAAGCAGAAATAAATAAAATTGAGAAGAATAAAACACTAGAAAGAATCTATGAAAGCAAGAGCTGGTTCTTTGAGAAAATAAACAAAATAGATAAATTCCTAGCCAGACTTATAAAGAAAAAAAGAGTCTACACACATAAACAGAATCAGAAATGAGAAAGGATATATCACTGCAGACACCACAGAAATACAAAGAATTATGAGAGAATGTTATGAAAAATTATATGGTAACAAACTGGATAACCTAGAAGAAATGGACAACTCTCTAGAAAAATACAACCTTACAAGGCTGACCCAGAAAGAAAAATAAAATCTGAATAGACTAATTACCAGCAAAGAAATTGAATTGGTAATCAAAAAACTACCTAAGAACAAAACTCCAGAATCAGCTGGTTTCACTGCTGAATTTTATCAAACATTTAGTGAAGACCTAATACCCATCCTCAAAGTTTTCCAAAAAGTAGAAGAGGAGGGAATACTCCCAAACTCATTCTACGAGGCCAACATCACTCTAATACCAAAACCAGGCAAAGACACCACAAAAAAAGGAAATTACAGACCAATATCCCTGATGAACATAGATGCAAAAATACTCTACAAAATATTAGCAAACTGAGTTCAAAAATACATCAAAAAGATCAC